ATGGCACTTGGTTGTAGGAAGAAAGGTCCCTCCAGCATCTCTTTCTCCTCTCTCTCTCTCCCTCAGTCCACTCTGTCTCAGTTTCCTAGGGCTGGCATAACAAAAGTCTTATAAAGTAGGTGGGTTTAAAGGAGACTTTTATTTTCTCCCAATATTGGGGATAAATTCAAATCAGGTTATCATTTGTGTCAGCTCTTTATGAGGATTTTGAAAAAGGAACTGTCCCATGCAGCAAGTGACCTGGGGGGTAATTGTGCTGCTTTAAGATCAATCTGTTTATGCAAAGGGAGTGAAGCAATTCAAGAGAAAGGGGTGGAAAAACGCGGGAGAGTGTTGATGGAAAGCTAGCATTCCAAGAATGGAGCCTGTCCATCAAAATCTGCTCCCTGGAGCCAAGTGGTCAACCATGTTTTGAGGGCTGGCCATGGGGGCAGGGGTCTTCTGGAGGCAGTCTGGTCTGTGTGACAAACCCTCGGGGTCTCTTTGTCTGGAGGGGCTCATTCCCACACCAGCTGAAGCTATTGTTTGGCAGAGCCCCGGTGATGTCATGTGTTGGACTGTAAACCCCAAGGTCAGCAGTTCCAAACCCTGATCTGCTCTACAGGAGAAAGATACGGCTTTCTGTCTCCATGATTTACAGTCTCTGAAACCCACAGGGGCCAATCCTCCTCTGAACTATCAAATTACCATGAGTTGGCATCACCTAAAAGGCAGGGAGTTTCTTCCTTTGGAGATACATTATTCTTTACTTCTAAAGGGAAACCGCAAGGGTGTATTTGTTCATCATGAATCCTTAGCAGACTCAGAAAATAAGAACAAAAGGGGACCCGGAACAGGATGGCTCAGCTACATGCCACATGTCTGTTCTCTGGGGACAAGGCCTATCAGCTGAGTTAGGTCATTCAGATTGAGCTGCGGTCACCTTCAGTTCTACAGCGAAACCGCAGAAGGGTCTAGGCTGCCTTTGCTACATGCCGGTTCACAGAACAGCATGATAGCCACTTCTTCGCCACCTAGCGCCTGTCTGCCCTCAGTAAGCCCCCTTTCTTTTTAACAAGACATCTTTCAGAAGAGATGTCTTGCCCCCCTGTAATATGGATATCCTAATTAATACTATCTGTAGAGGAAAGCTTTATTTCCTTAAACAAAGTCATATTTATGGATATAGTCATGAGAATTTCAGCCTTTGTGGTAAAACTCAAATCCATGATATTCTCTGAAACGCATACAACTTTACAAGTATTTATTGGTTCAAAAGCCCAAAAGTTTACTGCTGAGTAGTAGATATAGTTACACATATGTTAAGCCAGTGTCTATTGAAGAGACTGCTGAAATAGGATTTTATTTTTCTGGTAATTTTACCAAATAGAAATTTGGGGATGAAGGAGCTTTTAAAAGAAAATGTGTGTGTGTGTGTGTGTGTGTGTGTGTAGGAGAGAGGGATGTGGGGTGGGGTGGGGAGTGAAATTATATGATGATCGAGTGAATATAAATGAATATATATAAGTGAATATAAAATGAAAAATGTTTTGAACCTACTAGCACTTGAAGCTTAAGTTTAGTGTGACTGTAGTCAATATATTCCGTGACAGTAAAAAAATAAGCTAACTTAAGAATGTAAACCTGTTGGGGTTCATCTTGCTTGCCAGCTTTCTAGGTAGGAAAATTTGAGAGTCAAAGAATGTTAAAACTCTCATTAGGGCCAGAACCCCTTTCAAGTCATGTATGACTCCGCAATGCCAAGGATTAGACATTTTTAAAGAGCAGATTCAAGGGAGAAAGTAAGGGGAAGAATAGTGAGCATTTAATGGGCACTTACTCTGTGGCAACCAATGTTCTCAGCACTGTAAATAAACCCAATTTAGCTCTTACAGCCACTCTATGAGGTACATACAATAATCTTCAATTGTAGAAATGAAAAATGATGCAAAGGACAGATACCGCTCAGCTGGGGAAAGTATACTTAGGACAAGGTGACCAGATTTTAACATCGGTCAAGCAGGACAAAAGTGGGACACCATTGATAAAACTCATATCCTGGCGAAATCACCACATGGCAGCCCAAAACTGTATACCCTAGCTTGTCGTGCATTCTTTCAAAAAATCCGAACTTTTTAAAAATGCCGCAGAATGCGGCAAAAATTGTTAACTATCGGGACTGTCCTGCCAAAAGCGGGACGTCTGGTCACCTTAACTTAGGAAGAATTGTAATTTGAACCGTGGATTGTTAGTAACAAACTTTGTTCTTTAAGCCACTATAGCTGAGTCTAATACCAATTATTTGAAAGTTGTTTGGATCAGAAAGTTTGGTGTGTGTATATATCTTAGGCAGCATATGATCATCAAGCCCTTTGTAGAGTTCTCCACTCCCAAATCGAAGTCCTTGCCATAACTTTAGCAAATAATTTGGTTTAAGACCAAGCTTTCTTTATATATCAAATGAACTAATGAAAAATTCATTGGTAGCATCCATTGACTGGAAAGTTAATGACACAGGAAATGAATGATATCAGGGATTAAAAAGTGCTTGAAATGTCCTTATAAAACCAGATCAGTTAGTTCAGTGTTGGATAGCCCAGTCCCAGATGTGGCAGACCCTGACACAGTACTAGTTTTTAGGGGATATGTGGCATTGCCGTGGACCCCTTTGTTTGGTCAAAATGTCCCTGAACAGATCCATCATTAAATGCCAACACCTCACCCCCAATCAGAATCACTATCAGCCTGCAACTGGGATCACATCCTTCAGAGTATGAATGCCAGCAGTATAAGGCTCAATTAATGCCAGTGGTATAAGGCTCGATTCATATTTGTAAAACATGATTTTATCATGATGCCATCATTGCTAGTGATTTTTTTTTTGCCAAATCATTTTATTTGTAGCTAATCCAGACATCATCCCATTCCATAGTTTAATCATATCAAGCAGTATGGTACAATTGCTACCAAAATCAGTTCCAAAACTTTTGCTTCTTTCTTGAACTTCTGGATATCAGCTCCCACTTATATATAAACTTTATTCTATTTGTTGTCTCTGTAAGTTCATCATCTGTCTTGGGTTTCATATACCGAAAAACATCAAAACACATAATAACGATTTGAGAAGGCTACCAATATGACAGAATGCAACAGAGATAAACCCCAATATGAGACCAAACAAAACAGGAAATATAAAACAAAACAGATCAAGCCCAAAGTGTATCAAAGGGAAAATCAAGTGAAAAGGCTGTAACTGTTTGAGTTAGATTTATTGTTTTAATCGACTATATTATCTTCTGTCCAATACTCTCGGTCCGATAGCCAGGTCATTACCATCCCTTAGCTATGGTTAGAAGGATTGCTCGTGGGGTTCATGGTGGTTCTCGTTAGGAACCATCCAGATGATTTTGACTCACAGTGACCGTGGGTACAGCAGAGCAAACCACCACCCAGGTCGGCATCATCAGCACAATCACGGTCAAGTTACAGTCCATTCTTACAGCCACTGCATCAATTCATTCCAGTAAGGATCTTTCTCCTTTTTTCTGTGACCCTCTACTTTCCCAAACAGGATGTCTTTCTCTGGGGACTGGTCACTCCCGATGACATTCCCATGAGATGAACTGTCACTGTCCTTGCTTTTATGGAGCATCCTGGTTGTACTTCTTCCAAGACAGATTCATGGCAAGTCATGGCCTATATACTATTGTTTGCTAACCACATGATTCCGACACATAAATTCTTCTTCAGGTGTCCTTATTCAATGCCCAGTTTTCATGTGTATTTGAGGCAATTGGAAACACTTTAGCAGTAGGGAAACTGGCTTATTTTAAAAGAAATTTTAAAATGTCTTGTATGTTTTTAAAAATTAGAAATATTAAGTAAAACCTCTCATGTTATCATGTTGCTACAGAAACATGGTAGTGTCCCCCAAATGAAGGGATATTAGGAAACCTCATCTTCATCCTACACATTTGTACCTAAGGAATGAAGGATTAAAGATACTTGGTGCCCTTACCAAAAGTATCCATCATTTAAAAAAACAAAACCTTTTCTAAGTCTTTCCCAGGAGATGATAAAGTAAGTATAAGCATAGTGCATGCAGATATACGTGGTAGAAACGACTGCACTACAAAGTGTGTTAGAGTAAATTGTAGCATTCGTTTCTGTACTGAGACTATGCATTGAGCTCCTCTAAGGTCAGGCCAGAGTCCTAGTAGTGCAATGGTCAATGCTTTGATGGGTAAATGATGGGCCAATGATTCAAACCCACCAGCTACTCAACAGAAGGAAAACCCTGAGATCTTGTTTCCATAAAATGTATAGCCCCCCAAAAATGCATGTGGCAGTTCTACTAATTTCTATAAGTTGCTGTCAGGTGGGATCAACTGGAAGGCACATTAAAACAATGTGACAGAGACTGAAAATACAGAACTCAAGCCTTATCCCAAGTCAACTTATAACCAATTCTAAGACATGAAAATATGCCCATTTAAACAAGGACCACTGCTACTAGACCAACTTATTTCTAACCTGCTTCCAAATCCTGAATTGGGAACCTTAATTAAAACCCCCATTTTTACAGATGAAAAACAACTGGGATTGGAAAAAAATTAAGTAATCTCTCCCAGGTCACAACACTGGGTCAAACAAAAGTTGAATGCAAATCCACAGCAGCGTGGCGCTGAGTTTCGTGTGATTGTCCTTGACTCAGGAGGTAGGATTTGATTGGATACAGTCACAATCAATTCCCTTTCAGCCACCTATGACATCCTGACAGTTTTTTTAAAAAAATAAAGACTCAAAAAATAAAGTGCTTCCTTCCATAGGAAAATGCATTCCTGAGTTGGCAAGAAGCACAGGTGAAGAGACCATCCAGGTGTGAAATGAGAGCACAGAAGTAGTGTTCCTGGTTGGTTACTGCTCCGCTGCATGTGCACCGGTGTTCATTAAGGTGCTTGAAGTGTCTTCATTGGAACTATAATAACATGGACATTTCTCTCCCTCTCTGTCTCTTTTAGGTATGGGAAAATAGTGTCCACAAAGGCAATTCTCGACAAAAACACAAATCAGTGCAAAGGTATGTGTACGAGCGTCTGTACCGCTTGATTGGCTTCTCTTCTGTTCCCGGGGCCCAGGCACTGGCTGTGCAATGATCATAACATATAGTATATGGCAAGCCTCTTTAATAATGTCGATGATTTGATGAGTTGTATTTCTAGCAACATTGCTCATTAATTTTTTTCATTAACAAACAAAATGAAAATCACAAATCAGAACAAGTATCAAATTGCTTCAGCATAAAACTAAATTACCTCCTAACAGCTTTGGGTTGTCTAACTTGAATGATATCATCGGTGATGCAAATTGATTTCCTATATCAAAATGAGGAGCTCGGGGGGAAAATTTGGCATGCAAACCACGTTTTAATTTCTCGATTCTTTCAAGCTTTAGCAACACTGCTTGAGTAGGAATGAATCTGCTGATGGATCTATTGTGTCTGTGTTTTGACTGTACACTCCTCACGGGATCTGTGCATTGGTATCTTATTAAGTCAGAATTTTCTCTCCCCTTGGAAAATATTTTTGAAGTGATTTGACACTATCTATGACTCATGGGTCTTCATGTCTGGGAATCTCAGATTCTCTTAGGGGCTACATTACATTATTTGTGAAATCTAGATGTTCTCTCTGGCATGGCTTAGTTCTTAGTAGAACACTGGACTGCTTCTTGTCCCCTAGGCTACTTGTTATCCCTCTCATTCCCAACACTGCTGTGATACTGGGGTTGACTAATCCAGGAAAGCCAACATCATTCTAACTATGAGCAATGGCCCTATTTCACATATAATTGCAATGTGTACAAGATTTAGGAAAGAGGACCCCAAATATATTCTAGCCTACATGAGAAATTTTAGGTAAATTCCATTCTGCAGTAAAATTATTTTTTCTATATGCTCCATGAAAGTAGAAATACATTAATACTTGCAGATACATCATAATAAAATATAGTTTCTACCACCTAGTAATTCAACTTCTTATTGAAAAGCAAGTATTTTCTGGGCTGACAATTTTCAATTTACACATAAATCTTACTTTTATATGAGAGTGTAATGGAGGTAACTATAACGTAGGCAAAAAAAAAACTCTGAGAGAAATAGAGATGCATTTTAAGAGATGACGTTTATATAGGCGAGGCAGAATTAAGGGACTTGGAAATCCTAGTATCCAGAAAAGGAATTTTATGTCTTTGAGGAGCAGTGAGTAGACTCATATAACTGGATGATTTTTAAAGCATACACGAGGATATTGGTGGAGAATTGGTAAACATCAAGTTTGGGGACCTTTTTAAATGTCCCCCAAGATATCTTGAACTTAAGTTGGTATTCAACATGTTACTGCTATTGCTATTAAGTGGCATATGTCATTAAGTGCCATTAAGTGTCATAAGCCAGTCCCACATCATCCTTATAATTGTTCCTACACCTGAGCCCATTGTTGTGTCCATGGTGTCCGTCCAGGGCCTTCCTCGTTCTCACTGCCCCTCTGATGTACCTTCGCCAGGCCTAGCTCTCTCATGCCAACATAGCCAAAGTATGTGAAATGAAGTCTCGCCACCCTTGCTTCTCAGAAGCCCTCTGGCCATATTTCTTTTAGGACAGCTTTGTTTGTCCTTTGGCAGTGATGGTAGGAAGCATGGATCTTGCAATTGGTTTTGGAGCTGACATGATGCAATCATATTAACATTGTAGAAAAACCATCTTGGCAAATTTGCCATAAATCAATGTAGATTTTATATCCATTGTAAAGGAGGAAACTAGTGAAGGAGTCACACAGGCACCTTGAAGGCAATAGAAAGTGAGGCACTAGGAGAGCTGTCAGAGGTAGAATTGCTATCAGACTGGTTTATTGTTTTGCTTTCAGACATGTCCAGCCCATTCCCAATATCTTCTGCCTACAAATACCGAAAACATAGTTTCCTAACTAATCTGGCTTACTGCCCCCTTTTTCACAAAAGAAGCAGGAAAATGTACTCATTGCCCTCCTGGCAATTAAAATCATTTGTACTCTAGCCCAGAACCCAGGACAAAGGATAGGTATCTGCATTTATCAGCCTCTCCTGGTGGTAACCTCCACCCTCACCCCCCCCCCGTGTGGAAAACCCTGATCTCTGGCAGAACCAGGAAAACAGAGGCATTCAAGGCAGGCATTCGATAATGTTGATTGTGCACCAATCAGCACACATGCCTTCACAAGCAAGTGGCACCTTCACCTGTAGATTTTAGTGGATTTTATCGCATTCCTGGAGGGGTTGATAAATAGGGCTTCATCTTTAAGTACACTTTTTTCCCCAATAACCCAGATACCTCTTACCATGACACAACCTTGGAGAGTGCCAAAGAGTAAATTGTCAGCCCCCCAAAAACGTGGCCTTACTTTATGGTAAGAGTTTAAAGAGCTTACTTAGAAAGGGCTGTCAGGATTTTCTAAGCAAGTTTTCTTTGGCACTGAACTGTGAGCTGGACGAATAGTACTGTGAGTATTCCTTTCTTACTACCTAGCACTTCTAACCACATTCTTTTGTAACTGCCTACTCGATTCTCTCTCTCCAAAATGACTTTTAAACTCCAGGAAGACCACCTGTTGAATATGGATTCTATATGCCCAGAGTAGGATATATGTAAGACAGTGCTTGATTGTCGATAGGAGGTGCTAGAAGAAAGTATTATAAAACTTGGGAAAGGCAAAACCTGTGTAAAGAGGAAACCTGTCAAGGAAAGAAACCAAAAATATTTCCCTTCCAAATGAGCACTGCAAAAGTAGCAAGAACACACCCCGTCAAATGCAGGAAGCACGCAAGGCTCATAGAAGCACGGCCATCCCATTGAGTTAGCTTCACACAGGTTTCACTAGGGTAGAACTCCTTCTGCATGTTTCTTATTGTGTATGCATTAGTTTGATCATGCAAAAACATTTTAAATGAAAATATTGGGCTCGCTACTGTGAAATATTTCATATTCATAGGAATAAGGTTTGAAACTACTGTGAGGCGCTTGGGTCAAACATAAAAGGCAATGGTAACTAAAGAAAAAGGAGGAAAGAAAGAAGGAAGGAAGGAAGGAAAGACCAGCAAAGATGCAGCAAAGAAAAGACGGAAGGAGGGAAAGAATCATGCAAACACCAAGAGTAATCATTTCAAAGACAGGCAGCTCAACTTTGAGTTTAAGAGAAGGCATCAGGCCTGTCGAGTTCCCCCAGCTGTGAGTTGGTCAAGCTGATGCCTGAGAAAGTAGCAGTCTAAACCCACAGAAGGCTCTGCCTGAGAAGAGATCTGCTCTTATAAAGACTGGAGGCTAGAGAACCCCTGTGATCTGCTTTCAAAGTGATCAATGGTGATCAACATGCTCTAGTGCCACTTTGTGTCCCCATGGGTTGAAGTCATCACTGGTGGACACAGCACAACAAACACTTTGTGACTCTTAGACCCTGGAAAAAAAGTAGTGTGATTTTGTAGCTGATACATGCATTTCAATGCCTCTGGATGCTTTATGGCCTCAGCATTTGTTTGGAGCTTGTAATTAGCCTTAGCGAATGTGAAGGACACCCTCCATTGAGTACGTGGAGCAGATAACCCACAGGTTCCCTCTCATGGTTAGAAAGTTACCACCGTTAGGTACTCTCATTTGTGTTGCAAAATACTATTTTAATTATCTACTGAACATTATGTGGGATATTTCATTCTAGGGTAAAAAATGCCTCTCATAATGGTGACAATGTGAGAAACTCAACACAGTAGCAACTATATTTATGGAAAACATTTACATGTTAAAACTTGATAATAATAAATAATAAAAGACCTGTGTAGGATTGTTACAAGAGCTGTAAGAGCCCTCAATAAAATGTTTCAAATAAAGTAAAAGACCTGTATAAAGCAGAAAACTTTCAGAGAAGGCAAACCCAAACATTTTATACAAATCAGAGTGACAGAAGGTCTTCAGACCGTACCCCGCGGAAGGCAGAGAACTTGAGGGTCCTAGCAGAACAAGGCTGTCCTGTTGAGCCCTGATATTCGTAGGTTTCTTTGTAGTTGAAAATGAGAACCTGGGGCAAGTGACTCAGGTTGAGTATCCAGATATAAGATTATCCAGGAGTTAAAGGAACTACTAAGATAGGGTGTAGAGAGTACCATCTAAGTGTTCATTGAAAAAGTTAATGATCTAGAAGGTAACTGGGAAGAAAAACAGGGTTCTGAGACCAACAACGAGTAAATCATGGAGAATAACAAATAAGTAGATGATTGTAAAATATGATGACATGAGAAGAGCAAGGAGGATCCTTCCCTCCAAGGAGGGGAGGTAGACAAACAGGGAGGGGTGGGGAGGAGAGAGAGAGAGAGCAGTATCCTCATATCAGAGTTAGGTAATGATCAGGAATATGCAAATTAAAGCAATTTGCAAGGGTAGTTTATAGCATTTGGATTTTAAAAAACACCGACAAAACAAAGCTTATAAAACATAGACTTTCCATTGCTTATGATTGAAATTGGTTCATTTATTTTTCATTAGTCTCCCATTCATTTGGTCAAAACTAAAGTGATTCCCACTGCTGTTGAGTCAATTCTAACTTACAGCAGCCTGCGTGTGGTTTGTGAGGCTATAAATCTTTGTGGGAGCAGACAGCTTCTTCCTCCTGTGGAGCAGTTGGTAGTTGTGTGCTACCCACTGTTGAGTGAGGAATTCCTAGTTCATAGTGCCACCCGAGCTCAGGTGGTGGAGCCTTTTACAGAGAGAAATAAGAGACGTGTCATTGGTACTAATAATCCTCCTGAGAACATTTTCCAGTTATTTTATTCCACATTATTTAAAAAAATACACGTGCACAATTCTGGGCATCTTTTTATTATTTTTAGCAAACAACAACAAAAAAGAAAATATCCAAATATTAGCCTTAGAAAAATAATTCGATAACTCATGGAGCGTATTAAACTGTATAAAATTATAGTCATGAGAACTAAAGCCCACGTGAAACCCTGGCAAATGATTTTTATGTGAAGTTAATAAAGAAGAATATAAAACAATAC